CTGTTTTTGGGCGACTGAGTGGTTTTAATCTCGTAATAAAGATTTCGCCTGTAATTATTGAGAGTGCAACTATTCTGTAACTATTAAGAGTCATTAAGTAAAATTATGAAAACTTTCTATACTTGATGAACCAAAACAGTGTCTTAAAACTATTTGTTGTAGCACATTTTGCATGACATTCTTGAAGGATAATAATACTGTTCTCAATTTGCAGCATTTAAACTTTTTAGAATGAGCAAGTACTTGTAATATGAAAGTGTTCCATTGCTTTTTATTATTAAAATGATTATGGTCAGTTACATCCAATTCGCTCTGTATAAATGTAAGTAATTTGATTGGTCTAAAATACCATACCATACATGCCTAAATTTTAAACAATCGAATTGATTGTCGACCATCAACATTTAAATTTCATTTTGTTGTATGCATTTAAAATTGGTACCTACCCACTTAAAATCTATTTGTCTAGATTACATGATTAGAATACGCTGATAAAACTTTTTATTCCTTCATCTTACTAAAATATTTTCTCATGAAACTCACAGTAAAAGTTTTACTGTGTAATTTTACTTACAAAGTTAATATTTGTACAATACAAGAAAAAAGTGTAAACAGACACAAAAATAATAATAAGAAATTGATTCGTGTGCTTTCTTTATATCGAAAATATTAAATTCTTGTTCTCCTAAATTTATGCAAAAAAAAAATTCATTGTGTATTTTGTGTTGTTAAGTATTTTCTACTTCCTTTACAAGTATATTATGTAGATACTTGATTCAATAGAAGTACTAAATATTCATCGTAGTAGTCACAGTTAGAGACGTTTAAGGACTTTTGGAGAAAATGCTGTTAAAAAAAAATTAAAGATTTTTATCAATGAGTAGATAATTCAGATTTTTAATTAAATTTAGTTTTTATGAATATTAAAAAATATTTAAGTTTGCAGCGAAAGATTGTACCTGAGCAATTTTTTTTCTGGTCTTGTTGTCGGGTATTTTGGTCTTCTATAACAAATATGTTGCAGTGACTTAATGTTAAAAACTAATCAGAACTTGTAATGAGGTATGAGAATTTTAAACTCAATCGGTTATGATAAAGGTTTTGATAAATTTTAAAATTTTTTACGAAATTTTAGAATTTATTAATGCATTTTTATATTATTAAAGAATTTTGCTTATGGATTTTCGTAAAATTTATATTATAATCGGCTCATTGGAATTACTGGTTCTTGAACTAAATTTATAAGAAGTTTTGTTTGTAAGAAAAAAATTACTTTATTATTCGCTTATAAAACATATTTTAATATTTTTCTCAATATTTATCTATAATTTTTATTTTGTTATTATTCATAGTGGAGAAGACCACCTTTTAAAGAAGTGATTAATTCACTTAAGAGAATTTTAAAATAAAACGAAAAAATATCTAAAACAATTAAATTATAAGGGAATAAACAAAGAAATAAAAATCGATTTTTACATTATTGTAAATTTGATAACAGAAATAAATGCATAATGACCTTAGAAAGTAAGTGTTATCTAAATATCGTGCTGAAATTTCAACTCTTCTCTTATGCAAGTAGGACTTTTGTGCAAGTACTCCAGTATCTAAAAAAATCTCTGTAAATTAATCAAAAAAACACTCTGTTCATGATCATTATGAAATGTTGAATAAATCAAAATACTAAATGACCGAAAAGATAATTAATTGCAACAACTATAGAGTTACATTGAATACACATAAGAATGCTTATGCATATATTATTCATGTATATGTTTGTGTATATCATAATAAATTAATTATAACTTTGCATTATTTTACTTAACTGAAGATAGAAAATTATTTTACAAAAACAACAAAACTCTTGAATATTTTTTCATAACCTCAAATCAAATTTAATATTCTTGCATTTTTATTATATTTTCTGTTCGTATACGTAATTTTTTTTTATAACCTATAAATAAAATTATCTAGGGACTTTAGATACATATAACCAAACACATAATGATTATATACAAAATTTTAAAATGAATATATGTACATATGTATGTATATATATGCATGTATAAAGTAGAGTAGAATGACGCCTAAATGCATTCTATTTTTTCAACATATTTATTTCGTAATCAAATACAACATGTTTATAAACAGGAACACAAAGGACATTGCAATAATTCAGCCTACATTGCGAGCCAAACTCATACAGTTTTATTTCATTATTAAAAAAAAATTGGTTTTTTCAAAAAATACTCAAATAACCTACATTGAATGTTGTGCTATTGCGTTTACTTTTATTTCATACTCCTTTTTCACACAGTGTTCCTATTGTATCCTGTGTTTTTATTTTTTATTTTTATTTCTTCTGAGGTGAAAGTGGTTCTCATCATATTTTATTCTTTTCTGTATCTATTTTGTAAAATATATGTACGTACATTTCCATATACATATAAAATAATTTATATTGTGAAAAGAAAAAAAAAACTGGGTTACTCTTAAAATAACATTGAATAATTTAAGGAAAAAAAAGCAACAAATATGCAACAGTTTGTTACCGTTTTACCGATTCTAAATGAATTAATAATAAAGAAAAAATGTTGTGGGCAAAAAACTATAATATTTATATACTTACGTGTGTATGAATGTGTTTTAGTATATAAATGTAAAAATATAAAAACAAAAGAAACTTTTTAAAATTTCCATTCTACTAAACTGACCATGCGCTCTTGGCCTCTTGCTAGGAAAAAACAAAAAGGAAAAAAATTTTAAAATTAGGAGTAGTAAAAATTGCTGATGTGTTTGTGATAAAAAAAAGCTCATTTTTATTTTACTATACAGTTACTTTTTACAGTTAATTCAGCGAAAATGATGAAAAAAGCTTTGTTTATTATTAACTGTGATTACTTTGTTTTTTTATTAACTTCTATGGAATTTAATGTACACTTCAAATATTTAATGTAACAGTTACTTTTATGACAATGTACTCTGTTATTCATTTAGTTGTTTTTTTCTTATTTGATTTTGCTCTTTGCAATTCTGAATTTCTCAAACAAATCCGTTAAAGTAAGAAGAAGATGTACAATGTTTGCATATTTTTATTGATAAATTTATGAAGACGCTTAGAGCAAACAGACATTTTTTATACATTATGTTTGCATGTATGCATACATATATGAAGCTGTTTAAACTCTTATATGTTTTAAAATTAAAAATTCTAATGAACTATAAATACAACGTAAAAATTAAAAATAATTATTTGATGAAATTTTTAAATAAAATTTTATTTTCCTTGAGAATATTGCAATCGATTCAATGCAGAATTGATTAATCGAAAACTGATTATTTATTACCAGAATAACAAAAACAAAAGTCTCAAGTTTTATTGAAAATATTTTTTAATAATATCGAAATATTGTTATCAAATTAGTTTTTAAAATACACGACAGCAAATGTCTATGTATATGTAAATATAAAATTGAAAACATGGAATTTTTATATAATATGTATGTATGTGCATATGTGCATATTATGTATATAAAAATTTTACATTGCTCAAAAAAGCTATTGAAATATATAGGACAAGAAATGATACATTTAATGAGTTATTAGAATAGGGCAACACTTTTGATTTTATGAAATATTTAAATAATTACATATTTAAATATCTACAGTATAAACTAATATGTATGTATGACTGATTATTTAACAATAACATAGTTGTAGTCAAAGAGTGTTTCAGTATTTTTTCAACAATGTGGAATAATTTATTATTCTAACTAACTCTTTGACTACATGCCTCGTACATATATGTTAGACGTCTCAACCTTTAAAATTATTTTCGTATAATTAATATATATTTTGGATTAAACAAGCACAAAATACTAAAACAGTGGCTCTAAATATTTTCTAAATAACAATTAATGTTAGTTTGTTTTTCAAAACAACATATTTATGTATGTATGTATGTATATGAATAAATTTATTGAGCACTATCTCATCATTGTTTTATCACTCATTTTTTAGAGAATGATAGGTACATTTTTTTGTGACAATAATTACTATAGATTATGAACAAACTTAAAAATTTATTGTGTCAAAATCTTTTGTTTTGACATTTCAAAAGCAAGAAAACTATGCGTCAACCTAAATTTGATGATTTGAATTTGTTTTCCATTTTAAAAGTCGTGTATTTACATGCATGCAATCTTCTTCCTCCGATAAGTATTTCATAAAATTTAACTTTTATGGCGAGTTATAAGAAACTGAGTAACAAATCAGTTTCAAAAAATATTTTTCAAAAATGTCAACGTATTATCTGTGAGCATCAAAATTGCTTAAGCATTGATGCGAAAGATCTGACATTTTTGATTTCGGTACCATCTCTAAACGAAAGAGATATAAATACCTACATACATACTTAGGTACACAAATAACAGTCTCATATCTCTTCAGTTTCATTTATCATTAATTTAAGAAAACTAAAAAAAATTACTGTAAATTTAATAACATGTCAGACTCAAAAATTTTAAGTAAATGCTCTTAATTCTAATATGCCAAGAGCTTTCATTTTAATTCTGTTATTTTTTTTTTCTTATTTTTTTTTTTGCTTCAACAACCTAACATAATATGTTTCAATGAAAAAGCTCAGTATTTTTTTAAATTACAACAACTCATAATAAATAAAAGAGTAATAAAATATTATCAAAAGTACATAATGTACTTATTATACATACTAACAATATTTTATGCTTGTAAAATGTGTTATGCCAATGAATGTTACTTTACTGATATTGAATATCTACCATCAACTCGTATTGAGTGAGAGTTTCTGGTGAGAACAGTGAAACTTAATAGCTGAATACAAAATTCACAGTAACACAAAATATTCATTCAATATTGTTTTTTTCTTTTTCATTTTTAATGTGCTTTTATTTGGTTTTATGCTTTTATTTTGCTTCTTATTTTAAATTTACTTTCAAAATCTTTAAAAATACTTAACCATCACCACTAGTGGTCGATTGTATATTACGGTTGTGTTGAAGTTTCTATCTAGCTTTGTGAATTATTGTGAAACTTTGTGTATTATTCAAACAAAACCTTGACTCTTTTTGGTACACAGTAAAAAATTCAATTTTCAATCAGTCAGCTCTAATCCGCTGTCGAGATAAAGTCGTTTTTAATTTATCCGGAGGTGACGGTAAAAAGTTAACGGGAAGAAAATCATTATTTTTTTTTTTGGTTTGATATAGAAAGAAGGAAAGAGAAAAGTTCAATATTTTAGAAAGTAAAAGAAAGAGAGGACAGAGTTGAGCGTGTGCGATAGTAATAATTAAAAAACAAGAATTTAAATTTTTTTTATTTAAAATTTCAAAAAAAAAATAATAATTTTTTTTTTTTTAATTTTTTATTATTGTTTTTTGTCTCATTTCGTACCAGTTTTTTTTTTGCTTTCACAACGACAACAACGCGGCTTAAAAAATTTGAAAATAAAAATTTTTAGGTTATGTTTTTAATTTTTTTCTCATAATTCGTACTTATTACCTGATTTTAAGTACTTATTTAGAGCTGTTCACCTGGTAAAAGAAGTCGCGTTTGCATATTGCTACATTTTTCGTTTTAAAAATTTTTATTTTTTGTTCATTCATATTTGTTCATTCGTATTTTATAAAAATTGTGTTTTTATATTAGACATAAAGGAAAGAAAATTTAAGAATAACCACAGTATCCGATTAACATCATAAGGCTTAATAATAATATTATAACGCTTTAAAATTAATTGGTGCAGTTATTCGAGTCGGTCGGTTACTTGTAGAATTACAATACAAGTGAAATTTCTATAGTCTAAGAGCGGGAGTAGTTGCAATTTTTTTTATTACCCAAATTTTTTATTTTAATTTTCACTTCAATCTAATTTCAGTTTTTAATATTTTAATATTACAGTGAATGAAACATAGTGCTATTTTTGGAAAAAAAATTATATGTACATATTTATTTTTATTTATTTTGCTACAAAAAAGAAAAGTGTAAAATTTTCAAAATCGTGAATTAAGTCACACTTCACTTGAATTATTTCAAAATTTTTGGGAATTAATTTATTTATTTATTTTTATTATTTGCAAAATTACAAAATTTGCTTTTGTGATCAAGTGTGACTCTAAATCATTTTTTGATTTTCGGATATTTTTTTAATTTTTGGAAAATTTTGGCAAAAAATCATCAACAATGAGTGGTGTAGATGAAATAATTAATTATAAAAAGGATCCTGAAGAGGATTTTTATGCTTTGTTGAACTGTGACGAGCATTCTACGGTAAGTTCTAGTATAATATCTCTAACAAAATTTAATAAATTTTTGCAAGTGAATTATTGTAATCTTTCTGTATATGAAATGAACATCCTTCCATATTGATTAAATATGGATCATTAAATATGTATAAATATGGAAGGGAATCGATCCGTACCCAAAATGTATATTGATGCGCCCCCAATCTGCTTATATCAATCATGTGTTGTTTATAATAAAGACAGATACCATTCTGTATAATATTTACTTGTGATTAATTGGTTGGTTCAACAAAATTAATTTCTGTTACATTTTTTTTCATTGCATACGAATTTATGACTAATTCAATTAGAAAACTTGATTATTTCATTGCAAACGTTCCCACTCACAGAATTAACTTTTTAGTGCTCAGCTAAATGAACTGCATTTAAAAAGATTTTGGCAGCATAAATTAAGTATTGAAATTAAAAAAATTTGGACTCAATAAATAAAATGCAATTGTTCCAAAAGAACAAAATTTGAGGTGCATCAATTTTCTTGCAACCAGCTCTTAATATTTAAAATTAAATTAACACTATAAAAAACTCAATTTGTTTAATATTTTATTAAATTTCTCTGGTAACATCATAATCGATCATAATGAGATAAGAATTCTGGGATTTTAATAACAATATTATTGCTTTCATATACCAACAAGCAAACGGAAGTATTTGATGCATATTCATACCTACTTATTGTGTTATTTGTTCGAGAAACAAAAGCGTCAAATATGCAATAATAAATTAATATTGATTATACATACATACATATGTAAGTATGTCTAGATACACATGAGGAACACAATAAACAATTATTGCATAGATTTCTGCTCTGATGCGTTTCCTATAATGATAAATAGAAAATTTATCAATTAAAACGATATTTCAACATGTTAAATAGTTTAAATTGAATAATTATTTCAATTGATTTAGTTTATGGCTGTATACATACATATATGTACACTTATTTCATAATTAAATACAATTTAGGTGTATAGACACATATACACAAAAATCATTATATGTAAGTATGCACTACCATATTAAATTAAAACATTGTTGTCATTAAGACTTTTTAAAAAACAAAAAAATTGATCCCTCTTATTCGTTGGCAAATAGCATAATTTTAGCAAAAAAGGCTATCTGTAGCGTTAAAATTGAAAAATTTCGGCTTATAGAAAAACTTTTTTCCGCGTATCTTGTAACTTGATTTATACACAAGTTAATTGCCTCAATATTCGCGCTATTCTAAAAAAAAATTTTAAATTTTATGAATTGTATAATTGCGCATTAACAAAATCTATTTACAGCCCATGTTTACAGATTAAGTCATCAATTTTGGTATTTAATTTTCTAATTTTTGGTCCATTAATCTAATTATTATTATTTGGCATTTCTGTTATTGTTATTATTATTTTTGTTTTTCGGAACGATTGAATACCAATAAATTGGTCATAATTCTATTTCGATTCCATTTGAAAATTGTAAATTATCAACTTTGTTTTTAATTGAATTCATGAGTTGACCTTTGAATTTACATATTTTTTTTTCTTTTTTCCAATTTTCTACATTAATTTCTATGAACAATTTAAAAAAAATTTATAATAATAAAATGTGAGTGTGACAAGATTACAAAAATTTCATAAAAGAAAAACAGATTTCTCTTTGTAATTTCTGTTTGTACTCTTAACTTTTGAAAAATGTCTGAATGTAATAAAAACATTGTTAATTTTTCCTTTTAATTTTTGCAAAAAATCATTAAATATTTTTAAAAATAAGCATTTAGAAATACAAAAAAAAATTGAATAAAAACAAAATAAAATTTATAAATAATCACTGTCTATCAACGGGTAGTTTATTTATACCATTTATTAAAATTATTCCTTAAGTTCGTTTACAATCTGCAAATCGATTATTATACCACTTCGGAGTATAAAATGAACGAACACGGATAAAAACGAAATAAGGGGAAAATTTTCGTCTTTTCTTTATTAAAATTGGGCTTTTTTAGAAGAATTCTGACTACATATTTTGATAATTTACCTTATATCACAGAAGATTTAATATTTTCAAGTTAGTTTTCCAAGAACCTATCTTAAATCCCATAAAATTCTTTCATACGTTAATTATCATACGTTTATTTCAAATTCTATGACGGACAGACAGACAACAGAAATCTCTCTAAAAATAGTTTATTTATGCTTCCTAGCATGTAAAAACGCATTTCTACCGTAAATTTGACATGTGAAATTTTGTGCCATGTATGCAATGCAATCGGTAATTATGTAAGTATCAGTTTTTTTTTTCTAAAATTTAAAATTTAGATAAAAATCACTACGAACTTAATGTAAAGCAGACAATTGATTGAACTCTTGCCTACAAATATTTTATACATAGTCTTGATTATAACACAATTATTCTTAAAAATTTGTATATCATTACAAACGTTGTTTCAAAAAAATAATTTTTATTTAATAAGAGGATTGGTAATTGATATTGTTTTGGTTCAATTCAGTCAGGTTGAAATGTTGCATTCAAATATACATTATTATATACTTACGAGTACATTTAATTGTATATAAGTGTGTGTATTTGTACATACATGTATATAAATTTTATTAACAAAAAATAATAGCACAAGTTGATTGGAACAGCTTTTATTTTATATTTTTGAGTTTCTTTTGATGTTGATTACAAAAATTCAAGGTTAACTTCTAATTCACTGAATTCAGTATTTCAACAAAAGTATAAAATCTATTTGCAAAAATTTTGTGTAGAATTTTTTGTTTTAAGTTAATTATTCCATTGAAAACTTTATAACTAATTTAATGATGGTAAAATTTATTCTACACAGTAAAGAACAAAAAAAAACAGAAAGAATAATAGACAAATTTTGTATTTTTAATTAAAATATTAATGAAAATTTTTAATTTAATTTTCATTTCATAATTTTTATACGAATGGTAAAGAATACTTTAAATTTGCTTTGTTTACTTTTAAAGAAACAGCGAAATGCTTTTTCCACACACACCTGCTTGTATATCAATTATTTTACGGGCGTACAGTGTTTCTGATTGAATATTGTACAGAAATCTACCATGAATTATATGGTTGTAAACCAGATATTGTGGTCTCTTCTAGTATCAAAGAATTAGGGTCCAAAGAGTTAAGATTTATGATCTACGATCTAGCTTTAGAATTTACGGTCAATTTATTAAGAGCTTATGAATTTATTGGTGAATTTTATAACATTTTGCATTTGGTCTTAAAAATATCGTACTGAACTTATATTTATATGATATTTTATAAGAAATAGATCCTATTACCCACATAAATATTACATAATTATATTAAGCATACTTTATGATGTGAAAATACATATGTGACACATATACACAATAAAGTGCGTATACATATTTTTTTCTCTATGTCTGTACAATATCAGGGCATGTTCACTCCATAAATGTAAAAATGGAATATTATGTACTTTTTTTTTAATGTACCTACTTGTATCTTTGCTTATCTAGGTACTGTACATGACAAGCTAATGAGCGATAGTACACGTTTTGCCTAAGAAATTTTCAATAAAAACTTAAAACTTGAAATGTTTTATAAAAAGGAAACCATGTCATTTTTCTCAATATGCTCTAAGTATAGCAATGATAAAATATTCTTATGAAATTTCATCATTTCTGAAGTGTAATTGTATGTATAATCATAAAGATAAAATAACAAGAGTTTTGCACTGTTGGAAGTGGAGTGAAATAAGTCAAATCAAAGTTTTTATAAAATTTATTACCTCAAATTTTAAACAAATTTTATTTAGAATATTTCCGATATACTTATGTGAGTACTCGTATAATAATATGTAAATCTTGTAAGGCAGATTGTCCACTAGATTAATTTTTGGAGTCTAATCATTTTGAAGCAAAATCACTTCACTGAATGTAATATTTACTACAAATTCAATCTTGACTTTCGTGTTTTACTAAAATACAAATTCCGTCCGAGACAATTTTTACAATAAGTACGTCATCATATTAATTGTAAATTTGCATTTATTAGTAGAATAAGAAATTTAAATCACATTTTATATGGGATCAATAAAACCTAATTGTGTAATTTTAACCTTATAATAGATGGCAACTGCATAATTTCTGTTAAAAAGATACTATTTCATCAAAGTTTACGCAAAGTTTACGTATCTTAAGTAAATTGTATTGCAAATTCCAAAATACCATAACTGCTTTAACAAATTTTACTCCACCTGACTAATTAATATACAATTTAATTTAGGATTGAAGGTCACATCAATAATTATGGTAAATTCATTCCTACTTGTGTATAAAATCAATATAGAAATATGTAGGTATGTAAGTAATTATATCATAGCAATGATAACTAATAAAGAGCATCACTAATTTAATGAAATTTGTGATTGTAATTGCTTTCAGGTGTCTGAATTGTAAAACAAAAGGTGTTGAGTCACTCGTATTTTTTCTTATTACATGAATTAATCAAAATGTATATTTATATTTGTATGTTTACATGTTGTTCAAATTCCAAATCAAATGATAGTGAAAAAAAAATTAAGAATTCAAATTACTTTCTCTTCGTAATGGTAAAATACCAATAACAATTTCAAGTACGAATGAAAATTCAGTGAAATATGTAGTTCTAAGCGTGAATATCGGAAAGAAATATTTTGATTTTGCAAATGAATTGGAAATTTTGTATGTAATATAGAATCTTACAAATCATCTAAAACACTGCAAGTCAGTTGTAAGTAAAATCTTTTAAAGCGAGAAAATTATATAAGCTTTATTCAAATTTCATTTAGATTATTTTAAAAGATTTGAATAAGAATTAGAATATGCAAGTCAGAAAAGCTAAATTTTTTCAACGTGAACTTGAATATTTAATTCAATAATTAATTTTACTTCCCTTATATACTTATATATATATCGAATTTATTTTCCCAACAATAAA